GCATATTTATTGAAAAATATGGACAAGGTCAACTAAAAAGTATAATCTGCATTAAACAAACAGCAATACCAACAACTGTTTTAACAAACTACTAATATTTGCTTGCTAAAACCAGAAACATTTGCTTATCATACATGCTTTAGGACTTATCATCCAATGAAAGAAAAATATCTCTATTTTTTAATTCCTGAAAGAAAGTAAAAAATTTGTTATCACACTACAAATATTTTCCACCATTTAGTAGTACATTTAGCGCTCACTTATTAAAACCCACAGAAAAATACTTGTCCCAATAAAAATTCATTTTTATGTACATCTGTCACATCAAAGATGGATTTTTCTATGTAGAATTCTTAACGATAAGTACAATAATACAAATAGTAAGGTTTAGTGTGTAGTCAAAATTAAAAGAACTATATTTTTCTAATCCATAGGTTATATTTCTTCATTTAAATCTAAATTGGAAGAATGATTACAAAGTTCAAGTGATAAGTCATTTCTTTCCTAAATTACATTTTAAAACGTTTTACAAGATTTAACAAATACTTTTATTCCGTTTGCCCTTTATTTGTGTTCAATAAAACACTGAAAAGGAAACACTGAGTTTGTTATTATACTTCAATTAAACAACATGAACTGGAACAAAAACCCATGATCTACACTCCCCACCCTCTACAAATATTTCAGGGCTTACGTGCAGCTCTGCCTAATTTGATAAAATGATTAAAATCTTCTGCTGGTGGACAAGTTTGGAAGGCTAAAATGACTGGCTAGAAATGAGGTGACAGGGGAAATCACATAACCCTTAATCCCTTTAAAATTAAATCAACATGTTTAATTCAGCACTAATATGACAAGTATCTACTACTTTAAACCTCCAGAACTAAGGATTCCATCCACCCACCCACCACCCACCCCCACTGAAACAACTGAAATCAGGCTGAATAGACCACTTAACATTCCCAGGAAAATAAGAGTAAAGATGGCTTTGTTCCTATATGTCTCTCCTGCTAGCAGGCAAGACAGATACAACCACTTAAACAGATCAGGCTAATTGGGATGTGTATTTTCACCCTCAGAGCAAATATTTTTAAAGATTCCTTACTGAAGTAAACGAATGCCATGTAAAACTGTTTAAACATAAATCTCATTTTTCTTTGAAAATGTAATGGTCTGCAATTGTATTTCTCAAGAATCGAACCTGTCCTGTAAATGGTTTTTAAGGGGAAATAAGAATAAACAAAACAGTGATTCACATACTACAACCCCAGCCCCTATTCCACCCAAATTTGAAATTTCTTGAACCTCAGTGGATTTAAATAGTCTCCTTAGTAAGGCACTCTTCAAGATTATTCAATCTTCTTACCTAGAGTTGGACTTTGGTCATCTCCTAAAACTCTTTAAGCCTCAGTCTTATCATAGGTAAAAATGAAAGAACATTACCAGTCTCCAAGAGCTGAAGTGAGGTTCAAGTTAGATTCAATAATGGAAGATAACACTGAGCTTGGCACATAGAAGGTACTTACTACATACAAATTCCCTTCCTCCTTAAACACCTTCACCTGGAACAAAAGGTAAGTTTTTCATTTTCCATAAATGGAGCTCTTTTAGAAAGAAGTACCATGAACACACATTTTCAAGAAAATGAATATCACTTAAAATTTTCCGTAACTGAACACATTTTGATTATATCACCATAACTATCCCTAAGAAATAGCTGCTATAGAAGGTTGATAAGAGAGCCTTGCAATCTCCCAAGGACCTACCAAAGTGAAATCTTGGGACACGATTGAGAAAATGGAGCAATGCAAATATTCCTTCAACCTATGCACATTTGGAAAGTGAAAAATACCTTTCTTTTTTCTTCTTAACTGGAAACAGTTTGAGATAAAATGGTCAAAGAAAGGAAGGAAGGAAGGAGGGAGGGAGGAAGGGAAGGAGGAGAGGGAGGAAGGGAAGGAGGAGAGGGAGGAAGGGAGGAAAGATGGAAGGAAAGAAGAAAAAAGGAAAAAACCTTAATTTTCTTTTGTCAACCAACTTACTTTGAATTATTATTTAGAAGAAGCAAACCAATGAATGTTTTCTTCTTATAACTTACCACAGTTAATTAGAATTTTTAAATTATTTGAAGGAGAAATAGAATTTAAACTGGCAAGAATGATTAGAGGCATTTTATAGCAAGAATTACATCAACTGTCACTGTCATTACAATGTGTCGCCCTCCAATATGAATGATAAGAACGTCTTTGTCTCAAGCAGTCATGTTTCTATAGTTTTGCACATCTGCTGACTGGATTTATCAGAATATGCACTTCAATCACCTGCTTGGCCTTAACTACTCAGATGCAGTGTTTATTACAGAGACTGATAATCTTTAAATCTTGTGAAATTGTCTTTCACATCCTGTGCACAGCAAAAAGCTCACACTTTTGTTATAATCTTAGAAAGAGGAGATGTCACTATTGGAAGATAACTCAGAAATCATCCTAACCAAACTCTTAATTTTTATTAACACATCTGAAAACAGATTTCATTAATAGAAAAAACAGAGGAAATGTTAAGAGATTTGCCTTTAAGAAGTCACACAGAAATTCTGGAGGAAGCCCATTCTGCCTCCCTAAGTCCCGTTTCAAGTCCTAACCTTCAAGTATGTTTATGGGGTTGATGGAGACATATATGTGGAAAGTTCCAGAAGCATATTTGGAGAAGCAGACCTTGAAAGGATCCCTGCTCAGCGCCTCACATCCACCCTCTACCTCACCAGTTTCACAGGTCCACCATGTCTAGGTGCCTGAGATGAAGTGAGCACATTAGCAATACAAATTAACTGAAAGAGAACCAACTGCATAAACTGTAGATTTAAGGTAAACTTTTTTTTTCTTATCTTTGCAGTTTCTTCTTCATTCTTCAAACACACCCAGACAGACAGTGTTACACAAAAAATATCAGCCTGCTAAGCCAACCCAAGTCACAGAAGCATGTCTAACACAAGACAAACTGACAGATTTCCCAATCCACCTCCTAATCCATTTCAGAGTGCTTGCTTCTCTACATCTCAGCTTTACTACAAACACCAAAGGTTCTAATTTCTAACCTCAAAGAGATGTATAAATGATTGAGAAATACTCATAACTTGTATGATGATAAACAGAGAAAAAATTCTTAATAAGGGGACCTTTTTAGGACTTCCATTAGAAAGTGGCATGAAAGTCAAACTATTTGGAGGTTACATTTCTTTATAAAGTATAAAGAAAATTGTCCTGAAGATGAGAGTCTGGATATTCTCCAAGTAGAAAAATCTTGGTTTTCATATGTTAACAGGTCAGACAACCACGTTAAGGTGCAACAGGTAACAACTCCCCACTCCCAGCTCATAACAAAAGTGGCTATCTCCTGATACTATTATAAACACAAAAAGAAAAAATTATTTGTAATTGGGTCAATGATGTATCTTCAGAATAATTTCAAGTACCCTATTTTAGTATAGACATAATAACACTTTAAAAACCTACTGGTTTTTGCTCCCATGGGCCTTGGAACACATGCCTTAAAAAAAAAAAAAAAAAAAACTCACCAATAGAAAAGAAAAAAAAAAATAGATCCTGAAAAAAGTCTCTACCTATTTCCTCAAAACCCTTCCTCCTGCTCTCAGTTTAATTTCTAAAATGCCTGACTTGAAATTTAAACTTATATTTCCAGTATCTATATCTACAAAATTGGAAATCAGTTTTTCAAAGAACTCTCAACATGCCCTCAAAAACCAAAGGGAATATTTTTAAATTTTTGGATGTATAAGTGTTATACCAAGTTTAATCAGTTAAGTCTGAATGATTTATAGTGAAACCACAGTGAAAAAAATCAAACTTCTGGTTGATCTAGTTTTAGCTCCTCTTAATTTTACACACTGTTTTATGAGCCCCCAGGGGTTATGTAGGCATCTTACTCATCTTTCCATCCCTAGCGCCTCTCACAGCCGCCCTCAGGGATTTGCAGTAGAAGCTGTTTGGCCTGACTTACATGGAAAATTAAGCTGCTAAAAATTTTTATGCAACAACAAAGACCATCAGCCTCTTTTTTTCAAGGTGGAGATCTAGAAGCAAAGTGAGAACATTTGGAAGCATAAAATTAGTCTGCTTTAACTTTAATAAGAAATGGTGATTGAAAAAAAATACAAATTCTGCACTTGCAGGAATGGGAGGCGGTGGGGGGGGGCGGGAGTTACTAAATCTGGAGGATTTTTTCCTCCTTAAGTGCAAAACATAGCAAAACTAATAAAATTATGACCCAGAATAAAAAGGTCACATTCATTTTCAAAGCATTCATTTAAAAGTATACAGAAGCGTTCTTTAAAAATGCCCGCATATTTACACATAGCAGGAATGTGGCTACCAAATATTAATCCTGAGGGAAACGGATACACATTTACCTTCATAATTAGACACAGCAGGCCAAATGTTAAAGTAAACTGACATAAACCACAAAGACAGATTGAAAGTGACCAACAGAAAGTGCCCGTCAGTCCTGGGAGCCCCGCTTGTTCCCTGCACAGCCATTGATCAAACATCTGCAGGCAAAGAAACCTACACTCACTAGCTGGGTGACTGAGAAACCAAACTTTTACAAATAAGTTAGTTCCGTCTTGCCAATCTAAATCCAACAGGTGTCAACCCGCGTCGCCACACTAAGTCCTTCCGAACAGGTTGAAGAGAAGCAATGTAAGGTTAGCAAGGAAGCTGCAATGACCCGACAGATTTCGGGGTCTCGGAAAATATAAAGCCGAGCCCCTATTCCAACGGATCACAAGGAGATGCACGACAAGGCGGGGATGGAGATGGGGAGGCCGAGGAGGGGAGCTGTCCTGCCACAGACGCCGCAGGGGAATCTCGAAATCTCGGAAGGTGGTCCCACTGTCGGATCGGGCCCTCGACCTCTGGGCTTAGAAGAACTGGGTATTGCCGCGGCCGCAGGCAGGGAGACGGGGAGGGGATGGCGCGTGGTACCTGCTTATCCAGAGCGTCCCGGGCGCCGCCCGGCCCGGCCCCGGCCCTGGGCGGCGCGAGTGCCCGCTCGCAGCTGCAGCCCTCCAGGAGGTACATGCCCGCCGGGCGGCAGCTCTGCTCGCCCTCAAAGTAGAAGAGCACATTCTGGTAGAGGGCGAACCACTTTTCGTGCCAGCGGCTCGCCTCGGTTGCCTTCTTGCTCAGGAAGCCGCGCTTGGTGCCCTCTTTGCGGGCTAGGAAGGCCAGGTACAAGGCGTGCCCCTCGTTGTAGCGCACGCTCTTCTGCATGGTGAGGGCGCTGGGGGCTCACCCCTGCCTCGCGGCCATCTCCCGCCGGCTCGTCCGAAGGCGCGCCCGCTCGGCTCCCGACGGCGGAGGACTCCCCCTTTCCGGGCGCCGCGCACAGGGCACGCCGTCTGCCTTCCGGGCGCGGCGCGGCGCGGGTCCGAGGGGCGCTGGGCTGTGGTCGGGGCACGTTGTCTTCCGCCACCGCCGCCCTCCCGGCCGAGCGAAGCCCCCGGAGCCCCCGACGCCCGCGTGGAGAGTGGCCCCGCGAGGGCAGCCGGCCGCCGTTGCTTTGCCCAAAGTTGCGGGAGCCCGAGCCCCCGCGGCGGGCTGGGGCGGCGCGACGCGCCGCAGCCTGTGGAGGACTGTCCTCGGGCAACTCGCTCCGGGAGACAGAAGGTAAAACGTCACGTGGGAGATCAGCTGTAATCGGCTTGGAGACCGATTTAAAGGGCAAAGTCAGCGCGGCGGCGGTGACGGCGGCGCAGCCCGCTTAACCGCGGCGCGCGTCCCTCCCTCGCCCGCCGGCCAGGCCGCTGCCTCTGCTCCGGCCGCGAAGGGGCGGTTCGCGCAGAGGTGGAGGCGTGCGGCGACGGCACACACCCGCTCACACGCGCGCTCGAAAGCACGCGCGCACACACACATACACACAAGTATATAGACTCACAAACACAGGCAAATGCACACTCACAGGGTGCACACAGTCCAAACACTTGCGTTTGCACAATTACACACACGCATACAAACAGGAACACACAAATACACAGTCACAGACACCACACACTCCAAAACACACAAATATATTCGCACAAATACACAATGCAATACTTAAGCACACAGAAAATTATGCACTCACATGTATACAAATAACACCCACAACGTGCATTCCAACACACAGAAATACAAACCCATCTACAAATACACACGTAGGCAACCACACACATGCACACTCTGACACGCTCGCCCACACACATTTACACACACAAATCATACACTCATTCACACGTTCAACCAAACTCATGCACACAATATAGACACATGCACACTTTTACACTCATACCCACACCCATACAAACTGCACACAAATACACACCCATACACAACACGTTTATATTCACACATTCATGGTCATACACTCTCACAGACAAATGATCATATACAAACACATACATGAACACACATACACGAACACACAAATGCACGAACACATTCACTCAAAAGTACACACAAATAACATTCATACACAAGCAGTCACAAACATACAAATACACATTCATGCAAATTCATACACTTCCACAAACCCACTGACACATACAACACACCTGCCACATCCACATCCTCACACTCATCCGCGACTGTGTTTCCATGGCAGTGGGTGGAGTCACAGGATGGCTTTGCATAACGGGCAACCTTGACTTTTCCACCTGTACCTGCACTGCTGTATTTAAAACTCGAGGTGAAGGTTAACAAGTGTGACTCTCCTGTTCCCAGAAAGGTATCGGATGCTGTTGGTTCCCTGTCAATGACTGTGATTTCTCAGGATTAAGATGAAAGAGACTAAATTTTAAGTACAGAGTTTTCAACCAGGAAAAAATACCCAAACCGGGAGACTTGTGGCCCCTGACAGAATCGATTACTCAGAGGCCACGTTGTCATAGGTTCACTAGATACCCTTGCTGGGACTGGGATTCATTGGATAAATAAATCTCACAGGTTCAGCCAGAAAACCAGGACCCCTAGTATACAATATAAGTGGAAAAGAAATGATGTGCACAGCAGCTGTGAGAGAAAGCTAGTGAACACTCCAGGGAGTACCAGTGTTTGATTCTGCTATATACATTTTTTAGTCCCCTTAGTCACTTATCATAAAAATGGTTTGTCAACGTATTTATTGTTAAAGACAAAATAATAATGATAATAATAAAATCCTTTTCTGGGCCATGAATCTGCCACAATACACCTGTCTTGTACCACTAGTTGTGAGTTCATTAACTGGTAGTCCAGGGGTTCTGCTGTAAGTTGTGTTTTTGCAGAATATTTTAACCCTGCCTCACTGAGCAGCTGAGTGTTTCCATTTTACCTCAAAAAAAAAAATCACTATTAAAAACTATACAATAGGGAAATTGCCATTTGAAATTACAGTATGAGCACTGTGGTCATTTTCCTTTACATATTTTTAAATATCTAAAGGACAGTGCTTTGCAGATTTGGGTTTAACTCAGCTGGGAGCTTGCATTGTTCTTTAGAGGAGATACAAGCATAGAGACACTAAGTAAATGTGGACAAGGTTTTGAGCCAGATTCTAGATGCAGAAAAGTTGGCAATTGCCTCAGGAGGCTTTTCATTGCCTTCTCTGTGATCTAAACCCCATAAGCGAGTTGACAGCAGTATAGTTGACGAGCTCCATTTTTGAGTGGAAACCATTAAGTGTGTGAATTCAGTACAAAAACAGTTTTGCAATGAGTATTCAGAACTCCTAACCACTTGTGTTTTTTCAGATGTGAAACTTTTTTTTTCCCCAATAAGCAATGTCTCTGGTGTTGAGGCTAATTTCAGTGCTTATTTATCCCTTCTGTCTACTCAAATATCCTTTGATTTGAACCACAGGAAGTATTCTTCTCAGCCTCTGGTGTGTCATCACTTCCCACCATGGACGGTGTTGTGGCCATCATATGCCCCCCGATAGCAAGAGAAAGGAACTCTGATTTCTTCCAAAATTTGGCTGGTGACCATTATGGGTTTTAATTATGGAAATTCACTGGGAGAACTACTTATTGATCACCTGTTTATGTCCTCAACACTATATTTAAGTGATGTAGAGGATATAGGGAAAAGACTTTGCCACTGCCCCTAGGTGCTTAGTCTACTGGGAATAGGATTTAATGTTTAGGCACTTCTCACCTAACTGTTCCTCCAAGGCACAGCTGCACTACCCAGTAGGAGAGCTTATGTGCAGTAGGTATCTATGCGATTCATAAATATTTCCCAAATTAATTTAATATTCGGTCGCTGAATTATTAAAGAGGGCACACACATTAGCAAACATTAGATCATTCTGTAAGACTGTAAGAGCCGGAAACAACCAAAACTTCCTGGACTTTCTAGAGAAGCTATATCCAGTGACTGCCTGATGGGCATTTGTGGACTTTTAGCTTCCTTCATCCATATGGAAACTGCACCCCTGGAATGGTGCCATCTTGAAAAACAAAGGGCCTGGAGGTTATGTAAATGAGGATGCTTTTCCTCCCAGCTGATCAAACAGGCTGGCAAAAGGGACTGTGTTCCAAGTGGGTGGAAACAAGCTCTTCTATGAATTCATTATTTTTCCTTCTTGCGTTTCATGGACTCTTTCCCAAAAGGGTCCGTTTAAGTTGATTTTCGAGAACAACAGTGCATTTCTCACTGATAATGATGAGAGTGTCCTCTTTGACTTTTTCTAGGCAAGTTAAGAGAAAAAAAGTTAGCGATGAACTATCATATCTGGAAACCCTAATTACTACTTGTAGAGAGAGATGATTTCCAGATAATTTGACAAGAAAGGAAGGGAGGGAGAGAGGGAAGGAGGAAGGAAGGGAGGGAGGAAGGAAAGAAGGAAGGAAAAGAGAAATTTTCGTCTGAGTTGTCCAAAGCTATTAAGGTTGGGGAGGTGGAGTAGGGGAGCTCCTTCTACATGAATAGAACCTAATCCATAGCTTTTCCAAATCCCTAATTCATGCATGAGAAGACATCCCAGGAGAGCTCTGTGGTCAAATACTATTCAAAGGTTAGGAGGACAGCAGGCAAGAAAGTGAAGGAGCATCAGGCAGGCAGGGCCTGGAGAGCGTGGTATCCCAGAAGCTAAGTAAAGAAGGTGTTTAGAGAAAGAGGGAGTGATCAGCTGCATCACGTGCTTCTTTGATGTTAAGTTAGATGCTAACCATTGAGTTTGGACAATGAGGGGATTGTTTGTGATGTGACAACCATGGTTTCAGTGGAGTGGTAGGGCTAAAAAGACTAAATGGAATGGTTCACACACACGTTGCATATATTACACTCAAAATCCAGGATGCAAATCCAAAACTGTTTCAGAAGAACTCTGTCAGTCAACTTACCAATATGGACTTGGAAGCTCAACACTCAGATCATCTCACTCTAAGCAGAGCCAGCTGTAGGCCCCTATAGGTAAGTGCCAGGAACATTCTGACAGGTCAGGTCATCATGTGCCCCAGGACCACGTACACCTGAGTGAGAAGCACTGCTGAGTTTGGAGAAGATTCACTGCCACGGAAGAATGTGCTACAGGGAAATACACCTGGTGAAACCCTGTCACGGTCACACAGCTGATAATGATAAGATTGAATGCAACCTTATCACGGTCAACTGCTTGTCCAAATGGTCACACAGTGGGGCTATCTGGCTGCTTCAGCAAGGAGTCTCTTTATTCTTCTCTGTCCCACTAAAGACTGAGCAGATGTTCTTGGTGGCTCTGTGTCATCTTGCTGGATTCAGTTTCTCCTCATGCTGTAGGTGCAGGTGCAAATGGGGTAGGGCACAGGCTGTATGCTTTTGCTTAGACTGAACTCTGAAAGTTTTGAAACCTTGGGGATAAGAAGTAGAAAAGGAGTGGGTGAGGCTGTGGGAGTGATTTGAAAACCATAAACAATTTTCTCTCTCTTAGGATCTGGAGCCTTGGATTCCCCTTTGGTGTAGAAACTATTCCTTCATAAGAAGCCCTTTAATAGGCTCTTCAGTTCAGAAATATGAAGCAAATGCCCTCTCATCATTGTGGGAGAAAACTGTGAAGGGATCTAAATGTGAGTGTTTTGGCTCAAAAGCTCAGCATTCTTTTGTAATACCTGTTATTGTGTGCATAGGTACTCTAGGAAGAGATGTTTCTTTTTCTTCTGGCAGAGACTGGCTTGATACAGAAATAAAAGCACTACTGTCCTCTCCTGGCATGGAGAGGACTCTATTTCCCAGCCCTTCTTACCATATACATGGGTTTTGGCCTAAGGGATGTGGGC